GCAGGAACAGTTTGAGCACTGGCTCTTTTATACTACGTCTGCTTTCTGTTCCGGTGGTCCCTGCCTCCCCAGATTGAGATGCATGGGTGTTTGTACACTGCCAGGATTATTTACAGGGAAAAATGAAACAAAAGAGAACAGAATGCTTTTAATGTCTTTTGATTTCAGTGGAAACAGATAAAGAATAATTTCAGCACTCAACTGCAGAGGGATTGTGCTGCGAGTATTTTCGCACTGGAATATCACACAGCTGCCCATTATACTCTGCTTTAGAGTGAGTAGCTGGGAAGGCTTTCCCATTGACGCTCTCTGCTTTTTCATAAAACAACATCTGAAATGGTGGCTTGTTACAGAAAACTAAAGGTAACAGTTTAATAGCACAGCGTTAATGAGTGAAGTGGGATTAAAATCTTGGTGAGATACATTTCTTAGGGATTTCTTTTTCTATTTTAGAATTATGATACTTGTCATACAGTGTAATTATGCATTCAGAGGAAATAAGTAAACAAATGAGGTTTGTGGGTTTGGAATTATTCTTGTGAGCTTCTACTAATTTACTTCTGAGAATCACAGTTCAGAAAAGAAAGACTGAACAGTATTGGGATCACAGTTGTCTCTGGATGTCCAGGTGATTTTGCAGCAGTAGATCCTTTGTTCCTTCCAATGTGCTGTTGTGTTACTGTGCTACAGTCCAAAGACAGCAGCAGTGTACTGCCCCACCAGAACCATAACATGAAAATTTTTAAGGTCCTGGGAATAGCATTGGGTAAGTCGAGTATTAAGGTGAAGTATGCAAATATAGAAAATAGCTATCATTCCACATATGCCCTCCTATGATAAGGCAGGTAGTTGTAAAAAGCACATAGTAATGCCACAGCCTGAGTTTGCAAGTCATGAGTCAGCAAGAATGAGGAGAATTTAATAAAAACCAATGTTTTCTTCCTTATCCTTAAACCTTTGAGGTGTGCTGGATTCCACTTTAAATGCTCACTGAACAGAGATTTCTTTTTTTTTTTAATATAACTGTGTTCAAAATAATTCTTTTGATGCCAGACCCTTGAACATTAAATAAACCGAGTATGGTAATAAAATAAAAAACCACTGGCAATAGTCATTATACTACTTTTCAGTTGACTCCCCTTTGTTAGAGACAAATCTTAGAAAGGCTTCTGCACTCTTCCATGGACACAAAATGAGCTGCATAGGTGTTTTCTTTTCCACAGAAGTTACTGTCATTACCATTGCAGTGGGAAAACGTGCAGCTGCCTGCTCTGCATTCCAGGCAGGGATGCATGTAGAATGATTTGTCCAGGAAAGCAAAGAACTGTACTCCACAGGAACAGGTCCTCCTTCTTTGCTCATGCTCATCTCCCCATGTTGACTCCCAGGAGATGGGCCTGAGGAAAGAGGGCAGGATTTTGCCTGAAGTGAGGATCATGCATGAACAGATATGAACACTGTTATTTATTGCTGGCCTGCTGATGAAAAGCTTCAGTTGAAAGCGGAGTGAAATAGTTTTGCCAAGGCAACTTTCTATCTATGTTTTTCATTCTTCTGGAAATGCTCAGTTACCCATCTGAAATTCTGCTTCGGCAGGTTTTGAAGACTTGTTTAGTTTGCCAGGGGTATCCTTGCATGTGGTAGCTGTATTCGCCATAGCATGGCATAAGATTTTTTAAAATCACTGTACTTACAGGACTTCTGCTTTACAGCTGCAGCACATTTACAACAGATCCAAGATTTCCTGCAAGTGCCAAGCTGTGCTTTACCCACTAGCAATTCTGATTTTCTGGAAGATCCTCAATTGATAGGTTATAAAACTAATTTTTCAGATTTTGGATCAAAATTTCAAAAATTTTCTCCAATCTGTGCATGCATGTTTGTGTTAGCAAAATTGCAAACCCAAAATGGTGAGCATTCAACACATACAAGATATGAAGCAATGTGTGTGAACATAAACTCATTTGAACTATATGTAAAGACAAGGGCTCCCTACCTGTGAGTAGGGCAGGCAACCAGATTGTATAAAATACCCATACTTTGCATTTGCTTTTTTAAAAATAAAAATCCCCATGTAAAACCTTGAATCAAATCCTCTCTAGAAAATTTTGAAGGAAGAGAGAACTCCATGCATGGCTAAATAAAAGGCAAAACTTTAGCACATGGGCTTTTGTTCTGGGGCATAGGTTTCATCACGTGAAAGAGTTCAGTGCTTTGGTTATTTTTTGTAATGGTCAGAATTTGTCAACATTTACAATATACCAGCACATAAGATAGCCCTGTTAATTCTACTACAGATAATAAAGACAGACTTCACAGGCATTATATATTTGGAACAGCATTTTAAAACGACGTTAGGGGTGTGTGTCTGCACACGAACGCACATGTGGTGCTTGTGTGTATGATAGAGCATAGTCGCCTGTGATGTGCTTCCAACTTCTTGCAGTCTCATGTACACAACTAAGAAACATTGACTGGAAAATCCTCTACAAAGGTTAAGGACTGACAGCTTCCATGTTATACACATGGTTATCTTCTTTCTAAAAGAACATACTGTCATTGCAATTACCATATGTATCTTGATCTCACCCAACAGAACTTTTTTCAGTTTTTCAGATTTGAAGGATTTCTGCAAAGAACCAAATTAATTTATTTTCATGTAAGGTGAAGGGAGGCACCCACTGAGACTGAGTACGCAACTTGTCATAAAAAATTAAATGTCTGACGACAATCATTCTTAGAAAAAAAAGATTTAGAAAGCTATCCATTGACAATACTGCACTTGTTTAGCAAATACAAGAACCATATATGTTGCTGCTTCTCATATTTGTTGGTTTTCATTGCTATCATGTTGCTTGTAAAACCTGGGTTATTCTAATGAACAGAAATTACGACTTGAATTTGGGTAATGCTTACAACTATACAAATAATCTATCGATAGCAATAGTGTCAGCTGGAGATTTAATGCTACAAGTGGATAACATTGCACTACTTGAAACCAATAGCTCTTCACACAGTAGAAGACTGAGGGTCCTATTCAGCAAATATTCAGGGTCCTATGGCTGTGGCCACAGAGGTTCCAGAAGCTCTCGCTGAGTCTAATCCTGATTCAGGAACCAAAATGATATGCTGTGTATATATTTCTCTGCACAGCCTGGATGCGCTGGACACCCTCCCCCACTTGATTCCTGGGAAGGAAAAAAATATGTGTCTGTTTAGCTCAGTGACATGAAAAGCAATCCACAGTAATGAAATCTAAAGAAGTTAGCCAGGCATGTATGAAAAGAACAGGGTGCCTGTAAAAAGGGAAGAGCTGTCAAAACCTAATTGTGGGCTCTGGCTGCAATAAAATTTATCAGAGGGAAGACAGGTTGGATATAAGGATGTAGACAACTTCTGCTAAGAGACACTTCTCATATTCTGGTAAATAGTAACTATTACACTACTTTTAACGTGCTTTGTCAAGCTGTTCCTATCAAGCTGAGAGCTTGGTGATGTATTTTCTAAACCCAGCTCCCAAATGCCCAGGTAGGCATTTCAAACATTGCATTCAGCCAGTAGCTAGCTTGTCACTGAGGGCACAAACATATAGGCAGAGCTCCCCCACTATGCTTGGTCTTCTTTCACAGCATACTTGCATGTTGGCAGCACCCATGCTCTGAAAAGGCATGGTGCATCCCTGCTGCACAGAGCCTGTGAGCACTCAAAGGTCTCCTTGCTGAAGCTGTGCTGCTGTGGTCCCCAGGCACCAATAATCGCTTATGGACACAGGGCCAGACTGTGTATTTTTGCCACTTTGTAGCTTCTTCCTATTGCATGACAATTATTTATGGGATGGCCTAGGGGTAGTGCTTACAACCAAGTAGGTAAAGTCCTTGGCTGCATTCTAATAACACAGCTGCACTTGGATGCATAAAGTATACTCAGAGAGGCTGTGAACTGCCTGCTGCTGTATGTTAAGTGCTTACGGCACTGTCTGTGGCTTGATATGAATACGATGGTCTTTCCTGTCTTTCAGCATTGGAGATAACATTGTGACTGTTCACAAAATTATTAGTTTCTTTTGATCGGGATTACTGCCTGACTTTAGTCAGTGATAGCAACAATAGCACGATAACTCTTTGGAAGCAATTTAGTTAGATCTTTGATGAATTTTTGTGTCTCGTGTATCAGGATTAGCATTCCCTGTACTGGGGAGAGGATTAGACAGAGGGATTAAAAGGACATCTTTACCCCACTGGACTCTGTGGAATAGCCCCTGAGGATATGGCTAAGAAAGAGTTCAACAGGAAGGCCAAATATATGCTGAC